TACAATTCCTTTGTACCTATATGGTGCATTGCCTTGCAATGGTTCCTAGGGTTCCCCTGTGCTGAAGAGGTGAGAATAATCTCAAAGCATACGACAGATATTCAATGCTCACAACACAGAATGAGGAGTGTTTCGGTTGTTCCAGTGATTTCATGTACCTGGTCCTTGTTGCTAACATAGCATGATTAATCATAATCTTCCATTAATGAACTTGGATCCATATTCATTGACTTATTTACAAAATAGTGATGCTTGCAGCCTTCACAAGTCTATGCTGGACAAATGCCAGTTGTGTATTATAAATGATGAAAAATGTGAAATTGCAATATCCCCTAATTGACAACACAGAAGGTTGGAATACCATTGCTGAATCTAGGATGATCTTCAATCAACCCTAAAGGACCAAAAATCATTGAGTTACAAGCAAAATAGTGATGCCTCATTGATGTTTATGGCTCAACTACATCATCATGAGTTACTTGAATGCACAGTCTCGAGTCTCGAGCGTATTACGGTACTGGTAGGCTGATTTTTTGTTGAGTAAATGTACTTGCTTTCTGTGCTTTGAATGTGTTGGGTGTGTGTCGTACCAACGATGGTCGTTATCATTTTGTGGTTGTCTGCTGTTCTACCTTAAAATTCAGGATTCAGGGTGCGAAGCAGAGGTAAACGCGATTGTTGCAGATGTTGCTGATGCTCGCCCAACTTCTCTCATTGCTGTTGGTCGCTACCGGTAGTAATGCCTTGACCAATGGCGTTCCATCAATAGCCAAGTCAATTCAATTTCAATTGCAATTACAATCGCGAGAAAGAATTGATAATCCCAGCGACCCTATAGCTCGAACAATATTGCTGGTTCCTCCCGACAAATTGTCAGAAAGAGTCAAATACCTTCAGAAGGCTACGAATACTCGCATAGAAGGACTCTCGGTGCTCCACCAAGCATGTGATTCATTTGACTCAAACTTTCAATCCGAATTCGGTGTCAAATCCGCCATTACTCGGGTCTCGCTAATTGACCCACACAAGATTATTGTCCGTTGGAACGTTACATGGGTCCCAGTGTCGGCTCTCTGGCTTGAGGTGCTTGGGAACGCCTGGCCTGGGGTCAACGTTGTCCCCACGACTTATAATCACCTATCGAATCAGCCGTGTACGTTTTCATGGAACGCGGTTGGAAAAGTCTTTCTGGATGCCATGGCCAGTGGAAAGCTTCGGATACCATTGGCGTGCATAGAAGGTACAAGCGAGCTCATTTTTTCAGAAGATGATGACATGCTGGTTTCCATTACGGAAGAATTATCTTATGCCCAAGACTTGCAGCGAGGCTGTCTATTGAATCGAAGGTGTTCCGACGACTTGAGACTATTTCTAGAGACTGGCAGGCGCAGTTCTGCCTTGGAAGACACTTGGGACGACTTGATTGCAGAGGCCCTTCCGTGGGCATCTGTACCAGGCTCAGGTTCACTCGATGTCACGCCGACAGCTGATGGTGAAGAGGATGGGCCGATAGTCTTCTTGGGAGTTGCTGCATTGCTGCTGGTGGGGTTCACCAATTTCGCAGGACCTCATCTGATTGGACCATCATTCTTTGGTTCCACACACGATATTGTGGAGCGGAACATCTTCGATTCCGTATTCTAGAGCTACGTACACTGCATAGGGACTGTTAGAGGAGAATGTCGAGAGTATCCCATCATACATACATTCGAAAGACCGCGGCAGGTTCGCAGTGTGTTTATCTTATGGTCGTTCGTACCACGTATTGTCGTCGGGTCGGTTGATGAATTCCGAAAAGAATACCATCAAGTCTTCCCGACCACCGAACTTTTCTTCGAAGGCAGCTTTGTCCGTTGGCTGACCGATGCAAAAGATGCTAGTTCCAGATCCACTCATTAACACATGAGAAAAGCCATCAACTTCGAGTAACTCCTCCTTGAGGGCTTTCAACTCCGGTAGATTCGCAAATGCAGGCGGTTCCAAATCATTTATGTACGACGTAGCATCAATAACACCATTTGCTTTAAAATCTTGCAGGAGTGCCTCTGGTTCCAAATCATTACGCAACAAATCGTAATTCAAACTTTTAAAGACAGTCGGTGTTGAAAGGCCGACATCGGGTTTACAAATCGTTACGGATGTGCCTGGTCCAACAGGCGGTTGAGGTGTTAGAATTTCCCCGCGGCCAGTACAATAGGCAGTGCCTTGACTTAAGAAGAAGGTGATGTCAGAACCCAAGACCGCAGACCATTCGATGAGCTGTTGGAGAACCGATCGAAGATGAGATTCGAGAAAAAAATGCGAACAATCCCTCTCCCCTTCGACGCACCTCTTCTTGTCGAGCTGGCTTTCCCATCAATTCATTGCAACCAAACATCGCAGTCGCCGCATTGGCCGATCCACCTCCCAATCCAGCTTGGGCCGGACAGTTTTTGAACAAATTAGCATCGAAAAACACTTGTCGTCCTGTTTTGTCACGCATCAACTGCAGCGCCCTCAAGACCAAGTTTGAAGAATCCGTTGGGACACCCGCCATATTACAAGAAAATGAGTCACTGGTTGCGGATTCGTCCAAGACCTTGAGAGTCAAGTCGTCGCCAAACCCTACGGCTTGGAAGAGTGAGGCGAGATCGTGAAAGCCATCGTCTCGTTTCCTTAGAATGCGAAGGAAAAGGTTGACTTTGCAGGGTGAAAATAATTGAATTGAATCACCCGGAACTGCTGAAATGGAGGTTGACAGTCGTGATGTTGGAGACACAACAAAGGCATTCGCCAATGAAAGGATGATATACAGGAGAGTGATTTCCAGTCTCATGGCCAAAGGGGACGATGGACGGTTTGAAGTTATGATGTCAACAAGATCGGCAGGCCATCAATCTGAATTTGACACGTAGGAATGAGGATTCTCGTTAAGGTTTAGTGATATTGTAGGTTAGAGCCTCCCAGAAATTTATGATCACGGATATATTGTATGTACGTCGTAGTGCGAAAGTCTACAAGCACTGGAAAAACTTGCAACAGTAGCAGCTGCTTTAAATGAGATATATACTCCATGCACCATGCACTTGGTCACTCGCCTCTCTACTCTCTACAATTAGAGCCCCTCCATACTCTCAAGGGGACAGATCGTGATCGTCAACAGAGTATTGTACTAGAGTAGGTCCCACCCCCCAGTGGATGTGACGTGCCGAGGAGAGACAGTACTGGTCGCGCCTATTCAATATCTCCGCCCATGGCAGGTCTAAGTCATGGCAGAATTGTCATCAGCAGTGTACTTTGCATGAAGATCGAGGTCAATCGCAAGAAACTCGTTAGTTTAGCGCACAAAGTTGATCGACCACGCCGTTGGCATGAAGCAGGCCAACAACGACGACGATTGATATGTCATCGTCACAAAGGTTTGTGGGTATGGTTGGATAGGTCTCCTCTGTCATGCCCAAAGTCATGAGGTATCCTTCATCAGCAACAAAGATATTCTTCTCGTCAAGTGTGAAGGCGTTCTTTCCTTCAATTTCGGCAGTAACCTTGCGATCTCCCGATGGCCGCGTACCTTCAATCAAGTTCCCAAGCGATGCCATTCGACCGCGTCGATTGAAAATTACATCTGCGTATCTGGCTTCCTTTCCATCGAGAGCTATTGAACAGTAAAATTTGTTGACACAAGTCAAACAACCAAATTGTGGAGGGCAAATACCACCCGCAGCTTGGAGGCTGTCGATCATAGATAGCCATCGTGGTTCAAACAAATAAAGACTGCGTATCGCATCCTTTGTTAGAGGTCGCCTGAGCGTAAAGAGTGGAATCCCATCCCTTTTTGGGTCCTGAGATTTCGTTGTGTTTGGTTCAGTAGTGAAGCTCCAACGTTGGCGGATAGTTTCCTTTCGTTTCAATGACATTATCACTTCTGCTGCATTGATTGTACGGTCAACTATTACGTCATCTCGATCTACGATCAACGTATTGTAAACCTTGCATATAAACAGAAAAGAAAGCACCAAGGTGACGCATACGCTGACGTGGGATCGAAAGGATTCAATTTCAAACTGCACCCCATGATCATGCAACAAAAATCCGGTACAGACGAACACAAGCGGAGTGAAGAGAGTTGTTACTAGCGGCGTCAACTTCATCGGATCTCGTGCAAACGTTTGAAGAAGGTCTATCTGCGCGTTTGAACGAAACACGGACGCCATGAGACGCTGAGGGCTGTAGGATGCCGGCGATAGGAGCGTGTCGAGGAATCGCGCCCGGGTTTCCCTCGTATACTCGTCGCCGATGAACAGAGGAACATCTATTTCTCTGGCAGCATCGATCGCCGCGAGGAAATCAGCGCCAAACCAGGGAGCCGAGTCGGACGTGGCTGCTTCCTTCGTTAAGCGGACCGCCCTTTCCGGATCCAATTCGACCACAACACCATCCGGCTTCAATTCTCGCACCAGGGACGCGACCTCGGATGCGGAATTGCATTGGAAGTGAGAAGTTCCGACGACAATGAAGGTAACCTGCGATCGCTTCGCGATTCCGACAAAGGGGAGTTTCTCGAATTCAGCACGGACAATGCTTGAACGCGTTGCCAGCGATTCCACCTGCTGAAGAAGCATGAACATGATGGGGGTTGACAACTTCCATCGTCCTTGCGACAGCCTTGGAGGGCGTTTCATCATGAAAGGCTTGTCAGGATGAAGAACGAAAGAGAATGCCTAAACAACTTTTGATAAAGCTGACATTTCAAATTGGCACAATGCTTAACGAACGACGCACGCCACCGGTATGTCAGATACAACTTATTCGTCCATCTCGTAGCTCCTGATGAGTGCGAATGATGTGGAAGAAATGAATGCACACGATATTGCAGGTACGTGTACGGCTTTGAGGAAAGATAAATTCCCTCCTCCCTCCCTCCCCGTCCGAGCCAAATATATAGTACGATAGTCGAACATGGGTATGAATACAAGCAAATAAAAATGCGTTCGGTGAGCAAATCAATAAAAAAGCTAGCATACAAGAAGGGGGAGTCGAACCCCCGACCTCAGCCGTGTTAAGGCCGCGTCATAACCAACTAGACCATCCCTGCTTAGCTACTGGTGATGGTGATTCAAACAATTTGTACTTTGATGCATCTTGATGACAAACGCCAACCCCTCATTTCACTCTTTGACTCCACAATCCAACATCAGATTGAAACAACAAATGGATGTGCGCGTTTAGTAACTCTCACCATTTACTCAGATTCCTATTCATCACAATGACCTCTCAAGCCTTTCGCGCCACAGCCACATCTTCGCAGAAATATCTTTGGATTGTTCGACATGGACAAGCCGTGCACAATCCGAGGGCAGAGGCTGCGCGGGAAGCCGGGTGCACATATGACGAATTCTTGGAACTGATGCGTCAAGACGACGCGTTAGACGCCGATTTAACTGACGTGGGAGAGAATCAGGGACGCAGTTTACAACGTATGTCCACATGGGATGACTTGCAGCTAATAGTTAGCTCGCCATTGTCTCGGGCATTGAGGACTGCGGATCTTGTGGTTCCTGCGTCACATCACAAGGTGACGCGAGTATCAGTCGAGGAGTTTCGAGAAATCAATGGCTCATTCTTAAATGCAAGGCGACGGCATGTAGATGAACTTAAAGTCAAGTTTCCTGGCTGGGATTTTGGACTCCTCACTCCGTCAGATGATCACTGGACAGAGGAGTTAGAAACAGAACGTGACTGCGCTGAGCGAGGCTTCCAGGGATTATGTTGGCTCATGAGGCGTCCCGAGGAGCACATGTTGCTGGTTTGTCATGGTGGTATTTTGCGTTTCACGATGCAGCAGCACCCTCGCGTCAAGCTGCTGGATCGAAGAACACATGGGGATTTGGCTCGACCATCTGACGCTCGATTTGGGAATTGTGAACTTAGAAAATACGAGCTCGACTGGGACAATATCGAGAGTGGAGAGCCATCCATTCTTCTGTCGGAGATAAGTGATACAGCATGACATGGGAAATAAAAGTAAATTGAACACTTAGCCTTACACTGTCGTTAGTCCCGGGGCATCTAGTCGAAGTGCTCCCGTACTTTCGATCTCGCTCTTTTTCGGGGGGAGTCCATTGCTACCAGGATTGTTTGAGCTCAGTCCAAACTTCAATCCCATGCTTTTCGCTGTGCTTGCTGCTGCAGCCTTCGCATGAGCCTCTAATATGCGAGCTCTACGAGATGCTCGTCTGTTGAGAACCACGTTGCTGCTTTTGTGCGACGCATTGGCCATCTTGATTCCAGGAAAGCCAACAATAACTATTGTCATATTGTCACGACTGTTCTTTTCCAGGCACATGTCAAGGACCTCTTCGCAAACAAGAGCCATGTCTGTTTCACCCTCATCCAATATTGCCTGAATCATATCGCTGCACTCCCCATTGCTTACCACATCCCATATTCCATCACATGCAAGGACAACAAACTCATCGTTCTGTCCTTCGCGAGGGTAGACTAAAACATCGGGTTCGAAGATGACCTTTTGTTTGTGGTGTGGAAGATCACAGTGTCCTTTAAAGGAAAAGTCGCCAAGCCCGCGACTGACAGCCAGGTCACCATCCACTCGTTTGGCTTTGACGAAACCTCCAGCATTTAGAATTCGTTCGTGTTCGGGAAGATTGGACGGTTTGTGGTCGAAGCTTAGCGGGAAGGCCTTCCCTCCTCGGCGAAGTATTGCTCGGGAGTCCCCTGCATTTGCACACATTATATGAGATGGTGTGATAAGGACAACGACGCACGTCGATCCTGATCGCTCAACCTTTCGCGCGTTTCCTTCTAGCTGTGCCAGAACATCGTCAGTGAGTGGTCCCTCCTTTGCTTTGGCTTTGAAAGCCTCCTCCACGCGAGCATATTCTTCGTTTTTGTCAATATGAAGCCGGCGCAATTCACTATCAAGCTCTTTAAACGTTGTTTTAAGAGCAGTGCGGAGCAGATCGATTCCTGTAACATCACTTCTGCTTTTATGACCCTCTTTTCTCAAATTGGCATATTTTTTCATCTCGGAGCGTCTCGAGAGGATTTTCACAAAATTCTCCCCCGCATATAACGAGGTAAGATCACCCCCATGACCATCATACACAGCAAATAAGGCATGATCATCGAGAAGACCGTCATACCCATCGACAGGAATTGCCAGACATATCGTATGGCAATCTTCCATGGTTACTCTCCAACCTTTCATTCCCGATGTAGCATACCGGAACTGACCGCCGGCACCCTGCTCACTGGTTTTCTTTGTGACATGGTCGAGCTCCAGAATGTTCCCCATTGTCACGATGTCGACACAATCGTTTCGGGTTGAAAATCCTTCTGAGAATCCCACACGTCTTTCTCGTTCTCGTCGCAGAAAGTAAGAAGCCTCGTGTTCAACGCTCAAGACATGAGTGCCGCAATATCATGTTGTCAAATCATCATAATATCCTCACTTACAATGTTGTATACATATAAATCGTTTATATATAAATTCAGGACGTATACATCGACACCGCCAAACACATCATATTACATGATTTCGTTGGCGTTAGACATTATCATGCACATGTTCTTATATCAATTTAAAATGGAACTCAGTTTCTACAATACTAAGTAATGCTACTAGACATACGTAGTATTCCGATTACTCCAGTACTATGCAGATTAATGAGCAAATGGTACAAGTACTCCAATACTCGAGCTGTCGTACCAACCTTCTTCAAAAAATGATTTTTTAGCTTTCGCGCGAGGCCTCAATATCTTCGCAGTGCCTCGTTCGTAAATGTCTGTCCGTTTCTTCGTTCCCAAGCAATATCGCGTCGGGTCAACTACGTAGCCACTACATAAGGGATGACCAAGATAGAAGATAGTATAGAGAAGTTACTGGATGAAAAAGTCACCGGTCCTTTGTTCAACCGCGAAAGGCGCAAGGGCAATGATGATATTGTCGCAAGTCCATGCAACGCAAAGTACATCCCACTTGCTCTACGCACAACGTACCGGAACTTGGGGGAGGAAACTCAAGGTAACACCATAGATGAAGCTTCGGAAGAAAGAGAAGAGCACGAAGCCGAAAATTTTGACATGAAACTACCCCAAATCAATCGAATCATGTTGAAACCCGGGAGAGTGAATCGATGGCTTGCAATCCCCGTTGAATCCAAATTTCAATGGATCGTGTCCGTAATGGGTACGGCCGCACGTGACAGCGGCATCATGAGCGAAACGATGGCCGCGCAATTGTTGCAAACTTCATCATCCCAAAGGAATGCGAGAGAATCTCTCGTTGTTGTCATAACCCATGCATCTGCTGTCGAGCAAATGGTGAAGAAAATAATCCTGGAGAATGAATGAGGATTGTGCGAGTTCTGGTCACTGAGTGACAATGTTCGATTTCTTTTCGCTGTCATCGCTCAAAAGAACGCCTCCGCAGGATTGTCGCAGTTTAGCATCCACCTTTTCAATTTCACCACTCCTCCTATCTTTCCTGATCTCGCGATTGATCAAACATGCGGCTACCACGCATGGCATGATCATGAGGGTGTAGATTAGATTGGGGATGAAGAAGTCACCGTTCCTTTGTTCCAGTGCAAAAGCTGAAAGTGGAACATTGACGAATGCAGTGAGACCGGTAATGGCGAACATTATCCCAGATGCCTTCCCCACAACATTTGGTGCCAAAACAACGGGGAGGAAGCTCAATGTAACCCCGAACAAGAAGCTCCTGTAAAAAGAAAAGATGAGGAACCCGACAATCTGAACGTTCAGGTCATCACTGAACAATCGAATACAGCAATAGCCCAGAGCAAGCACATTGATCGCCTGAAACCCTCCATGAAACCCAAAGTTTCTAATTACTGCATCTGTAAAAGGCAGCGCCGCCAGCGAGACCGGCATCACAAGAGAAAAAATGAGAGTGTACTTGTTGTTATACTCGTCGTCTCCAAGAAACGCCAGGAAGTCTCGTGTTGTTGTCATCATCCATTGGCTTGATGTCGCGTGAATGGTAAAGAACAACGCTGTGAGCATGAACGTTGGCGATGTCAATTGCGCACGCGTGGAGCGCTTCGCAATGGGGATGTATGGATGCCCACAGTCCACCGGTTCTCTGTTTTCACTAGATATTTCTGAATCAGCGTCAGCAGCAGAATCATGGTCAGCAGCGATTTGTTCGCCGTCTGCCGTCTTTGACTCCGGCCCGGGTGTGCTGTCAACATTCTTGTGTGACCCACTGCCTTCCTCTGGCGATTCACTGGTCGATTGCGGAGTCGTTGCAGGACGATTTGATTGGTCCAGATCAGGTAAAGCTTCTTTACTTTCGTCCTCAGTATTGTCCACTGGAACCACGGGCTCGGTCACAGTCCAAAAGTGGCACCCAGCACCGAACAACAGCACCGACAATCCAAGGTAACCACCAATAATTTGAGTCAGACTGGCCCCCGTCACTTCACCGATGCCCCATAGTCCAAGATACGTGATAGAACCAGCATCAAACAAGGAATTGAGAGCAAAGATAACTCTCGATCTCGTTTGGCCAGCGAACATCATGCCGGTATACAAACTCAAAATAGCGCCCATCCAGGTTGCTTGCCCTAGGAGCAAGTAGGCGGGGTAGAGGAGCTCGTCAATAGACTTCGTAGCAACAAGAAAAAGTATCAAACCAACCCATACACATGCAGTCATAAAATAGGCAAGGGCCGCAGCACCGTAGTGGTCAACGAACTGTCCAAGGAATGGAGACGTCACTTGGGATATTTGAGCGTAGAATTGAACGTTCACAAGCGCTGATGACTGGGAAGGGCAAATTTCGCCACTTTCTTGCTCTTCCGCGGTGCACTTGGAGGAGAAGGATCCATTGTCTTCTAGCAACAACTGCATCGGTCCCCATCCAAAGAAAGCCCCAATAACAAAGAAAGTATAAAGTGAGGAACACACAACAAGTCCAACCCTCCTGCGCGCCTGGAGCTTCTCATGGTGTAACCGATCCGAATAGGGAGCAGAATTCATCCTTTCTCGCACTTATTTGTGATTGATCGTGATCATTGATCATGGGCCACAAAAATGCGAAAGAGAACA